GCGCGCTTTAGAGCATGCATCAAAGTGGCAGCGCGAGCTCGCGCTAGAAATAGCGTGGTTTGAAAACACGATATACTAAACTGTCTATTGACTTTTTGCTCGCCCAAGCGTGTTGTGGTGCCGAAGTGCAAGGCGTCCAGGGGACTGGCATGGTTGTGCCCCATGCCGAGCACGCCTTCCTGCGCTGTGCGTTGCACTAACAACCCGCTGCGCAACGCGGACATGAGTTTCCATCAGTTCCCCCAAAAAGTGCGAAGCTGAAGAAGGTGTGGGTCGACGTCGTTCTTCGAAGAGATTTCGGAAAGCCGTGGACTCCGAAACCTTCTCTGGCGACCATAGTTGAGTTAATTCATGCTTAGCGCGGGCGTACAATAACCTTCCACAACGCTTCTGAAACGTGGTTTGCACACCTTCAAGATTGTAGTTCTTCTCAGATGTGAGGGCTCGTTCTGAACCTGGGCTGCCAACACCGCAGTCAATTATGGCCACCAGGTCATGTTTATTAATATTTGCTACTGATGTTTCGTATCTACGAAGCAAAGCAGTGGAACAGCCGCAGCACCTTACATGAGTGAACGGAACTGCTCGTGCTACTAAGCCAGTTATCCGTTTTGCTGTGAAGCGGTACGAAGTTTGCGTCACACAATGGCCATGCAGCTAATCACCAGGGTTGCCATCTTCTCGAGCCGGTAGTTTTGCTTTCAATGTAGACCCCTGAAACAAATCTTTGAGGTAAGATACAAAGGGTGTTTCAGAGAACACAGGCCAAATCGCTCCTGCGAAAACTAGTCATCGCAACGAAAGAAGGCTTGTGACGGTTTGGTCCTGGGCCAGGGGCCCATATAGGAAAATTACTAATGTCCGGGATAATTAAGCTGTTAATTATTTTTGCGTAATTAACTTTTCTAATATTGTGTTTATGGGCATGGTATAAATTAGAAAAATGTTCAGCGTCATCGAAAAACACTAAATCAACAAATCGCAGAACGATAGAAGGCACGCGAAGCATTTTACGGCTTTCTGAAAGACGGCACAAAATCGGCGGGTTTTTAAGTTTCGGTTTCCTATCGGAGCGCATCTCAGCCCCGGCGGCACCGCGCCCCGTGGAAAGATAGTGCAACCAACCTCTTCTGCGCCGTCATCGCGCGACGCAGCAGAGGCTGGTTGCGCTATCTCTCCAAGGGGCGCGGTGCCGCCGGGGCTGAGATGCGCTCCGATAGGAAACCGAAACTTAAAAACTTGTCGATTTTGTGCGGTTTTTCAGAAAGCCGAAAAATGCTTCGCGTGCCTTCTATCGTTCTGCAATTTGTTGATCTAGTGTTTTTCAATGATGCTGAGCAATTTTCTAATTGAAACCATGCCCTTAAACACAATATTAAAAAAGGTAATTACGCAAAAATAATTAACAATTAAATTATCCCTGACTTTAATAATTTTCCTAAATGGGCCCCTGGCCCAGGACCAGAACGCCACAAGACTTTTTTCGTTGCGATGAGTAGTTTTCGCAGTAGCGATTTGGCCTGCGTTCTCTGAAACACCCTGTATACAAAACTGCTCAAGGTATCGGAGAATAAATTACACCCCGTGATTCTGGGACATGTCCTGCACTAAAAAAATCGTCACCCCGAAATTGAAAGAAAAAGGTACCGTAGTTACACTCTAATAAATAAGTAAACAGACATTTTTTGTCGCTTTTCCATTAATGGTTACTGCTTTGCCTTTGAGAAGAATTAGTGTTAATTTTCTTGAGAGTTCCCAGTGTTACTGAAACCAAGCACTGCACAAAACACCCTGGAACACACTCCTCAGTCTTAAATTTTGGTCTATCTACATTAGTGTAACTTGTTATGTTAATCTGTTTCTATAGAATAGCTTATACATTATAAAGCGAGTACACTGAGTACTGTGCAATATAAGTTGAAGCGGTTAAAACACACTTTATACAATTTTCACGATAAAAAAACTAATTTTAGCTGTAAATCAAACAACCTCGTTTTACCGATATAGTATAGCATTTCACTGCTGAAGCACACATGTGGCCTATATACCATGTAATGGTGCTTCTATTTATGTGTATCTGTGTTGCTCTTGATGAGGGTCTATGCACTCTCATTAGCAATCTACCCTTCCACTTTTGAATAGAAATCAGGCAAAGAAAACAGTGCTCTCTGTTATAGAACAGGAGTTGGCCAAGGCCCTTGGGGCTTTTCTAGAGACAAAGGGCGGTCGTCATGTAGAGTGAGCCGTAGATTGAGGTCCTTATGGCCTTTTTTAATGTCGAACATTCTAGCGTGTGATTAGTTTCATCTTCGTTTGATTATCGAAGTACACATTCTGGAGAATTTGCACAACAGACACAGTGTAAAAAGGTCTCGTCGCAAGCAACGTTGAGGCGAAGACTACAGTAGTCTTTTTGAGATGCGTGTCAGAAAAATGAAATCGCGTATTTTTATCTGAGGTTGGACCTTTTGAAGGAACGACCATTTAGGCTGTTGAACAAACCGGGTGGAAGTACAAATTTCTCTTACTACCGATGTGTCCCGATTGTCTTTATGAGGAAAGAGAACACGCCGATATTGTTAATCGTGGTTCGTCTCGGCGAGGCAGCCTGCCACTTCATTGCCCGTAACGACTATGTGCCCTATAGCCCACTAAAGCGCGATGTCGTGACCTGCCGGGATTACCAAAGTCATTTCAATTAACGCTTCCTAAGTGTATCCGTTGTTCTTGCTTTTTACAGTTCACTGATTGCATGGATGTGAGAGCCACTTCAGAGTCGCTGCAGATGTCCGATTTTTCCATCGTCTCTGCTTGCTAGCCAAAGCGTAATTCGGACAGTATTAGCGGCATGTATGAACTACAGGGGGTAATTCTCTAGCTACCATTATCATCGCTTGTTTTAGTGGGTAGGAGAGACCGAACAACGGACGCAGGTTCTTCGGCTTGTCAGCTCGCTTGTGGAGCAGTAGCATTAATTTCTGGAGCATTAGTTAATCGATGCACACTAATGCGTGAGGATATACTCTTATGAAGATTTACACTTCAGAAAGGTTTCGGCCCTTCGGTAGTGAGGTTACAATCGCTTTTGGCACACCAAACAGTATCGGGAGCAGCAACTTCTTTAGATTTCCGGGTTGTGTAGTTGTGTTTTGTCGCAGAAGCACTGTAGATGGATCGGTATCGGCTTCATGCACCTGAGCGCTTCTTGCTATCAGAGCCGTTTTTGACGACGTTGGATGACGAGCTGGCTTGCTCATTGGTGACTTGCATGGAGGAACTGGTGGGGTGATAGCGGCCATGATTCAAGTGCCGGTGGTGCACTTGGTGGTGTTGCTACTGGTATTGCAGCTCTGATGACTTGAGCATACGTAGACCTTTGAACTTCTCTGCACTTGGTTTGGAGTCACAGGAGGCACAGGTCTCACTTCCTCTAGATTCTGTCGTGACAAATGACGCTAAGCCATCTTGCCGTAAATATGTTCGCGCTTGATTAACGCGTCTATCTGTTTGTTTCGCATACAACCCGCGAACGACGCAGCATGTGTTCCACTCCAACTCGCGCAATTAGAATGGTTTATGGAGTTGTATTATTAGTGGTTGTGCGGGCCAGTACATACACCGTGCATCAGTAAGGTCCGTGACCTGTGTTGGCAATATGTTCATGCCTTTGGTAACGGAAGCAGCGCACAGCTTGTTCAAAATATTCCTTTTTCCGTGTGACTTGTGAATCCTAGAAAAACTCGTGAGGGCATTCGGCAGTCTTTTCAAAATTGTATGATGACGCTTGCCGTTTGGCAGACATGTCAGTGTTTTGCTCGTAAGATACTGAAGGAATCATTCGTCAGTGAATTCTATGGAGAAATGTTTGTCTTGTCCAGAGTCTTGACTAAGGCTGCAGTTCCCTGCAGCGCAATAAAATCCAGCAAAGTTTTTTTTTTTTTTTTTTTTTTTTTTAATTAAGAGAATATTTTCTGACAATAAAGAGGTGACGCTTACTACAAAACTTCAATGTTTGGTGATTTTGTGTGAGTTTAGTTCCTCTTGTGCTGTGATGACAGTTTGGTTAGCGATACGGTTTGGGGTCACTTGCTAGAAGGACTGTGCCTTCGTTGGCTTAAAAAGGATGGGAATGTCTTTTATATGACACTATCCTTGTAAGTGTTCATTCTATCAAGATGTTTCTGATCGTGAAATTTTGGGTAACCTACAGCTTTTAATTTCGCCTTACAACTAAGGCCCCCCGTTTCTGGCAAAAAATAACATGACATCACCTGGCCCCCTTGGACGTTCCAACAACAACTCTCGGTTGTGTTTTAATTCATTTGTTTGATAGCAGTGACTTCCTAAGTGAACTGTCTGCTTCCGAAACTTTCTTTTCGCCTCTGTTCTTATTTTCTCGTTACCAGGTAGCATGCGCTGTTTTGCTCCCCCCTCTCACCCCATTTGAGCGCAAAAAAAGCTCGATCAGAGATATTTATAGGCGCAAGTTTCTTTCAAAGGTTGACTTATAACAAAACTATTTTGTAAGTAATACGCCTGCTGTCCACTGTTTTTCTCTCTCTTCCTTCCCGCCCTCGTCCATTGTATAAGCTAGAATGACCGGGGTCTCTAGCTACTCCCTGCGGAAAGGGAACAATGTGTCTTCTATCCTCGAGGAGGCCTAATCATGCGTTCATTTCCTCCTGTCAAAATTATTGTCGCTCTAAAAGTGTGCAGGCCCTCCTCTTACCCCAGTTAAAAAATATACTAATCACGTTTCCGTCTAAAGTTTGGATTTTTACGGGCGCATGTAAAATCAAATATCTAGTTTATTTTCAGATGGCTTTTGTCTGGCGGTCCCTCGCGCTTCTTTTCTTTTCACTTTACATCCGCGCAAGGCCAATTTCATTGCTGCTCTGAACAAGGTGAACTTCACGAGCTTGTTATTATCATGACGCTTTTCGCATGCCCGTTGTGCGGTAACTCCGATGTAAGTCTGCTCTTTCCTCCATTGTGCCCAGTTGAACTGGACCTGGCTTCTGCGGAGTGTAATGGACTACGCGGAGATGCAGCACGTGGACGAGGCAAGCGTTAATCTGACCATCGAAAACGACAGTAATTACCTGCAGAGGTTTTTCGACCTCCTCAACAGAACGAACCCCAGGTAGGAACTCCCCTTATACGTATACTGTATACTTTAAACACAAAATATTGGCACGTGAAAAAAAAAAAAAAGATACAAGTGATTCAATCTGGATTTTGAGATATTTAAAACGCAAGTGTATATAAGAGGTATGCTCACTGGAATGTTGATCTAACGAGCTCTTTCGGACGCTTATTTCCATTCATACTTGTTCATGGCCAGTAACAACTTTCTACTCTTATTTCGTTACTTTCTTCCTCACAACGTTAGGACTTAGTTGCTTTCTGAGAATAGTAATGATGGACGTAGTTGCGGTACTTTTGGCCGAGTAATGCGTAGCAATGTAATTCGTTACGTTTATTTAAGAACCTGAGCAACATCAACCTTTCGTTCGTTCTAACTCGAGCTGTGGCCCTGAAGCTGCAAATGGATAACCTAAAGAGGACTGCACAAAGTATAAGTCTGTTTATCACCGAAAAACATCAATACCCAGCTCCGTTCCAGAAAAATGTTCTTTAGAAAGCCTTCGCCGAATATTATGGAGATGACTACGGGGTCACAACGTTCACCCTGTGTCGTCACGGGGAGAGCAAGACGGGCATTGCGGTATTTCGCTGAAGGGAGCAAAATGGTGCGTGAATTTAGCGTTCGTGCACAAGATTCTGTGCGAATAAGCGTTTTTTTTTTTGTTTTGGCCTCGAAATCAAACTATAAACGATAATTGCAAGTAAAAGCAAACTTTATTGCGCGGGAAATATATTAGTGTGTAAATAATAATGTTTCAAAATACATCACTATCAAAATGCGAGAACATATGCGCATATTCGCAACTGGTGAGAGGTGTAAGCAAAAAACTGCGAGTTTCTTTCTTTCATAACCTAAACCCTCAGACGGGGTTTAGATTATGATGTTTCTACCCAACTCACAAGTATGTTTTCCCCCCTTGCAATTTTTCTTTCTTTCTTTTTATTTCTTTATTGGCCGGCAGGTAGGCAGGCACGAAAGGCATGATGCGTGTTTAACACCGATTTTTGGAAAGCATGAACATTTGATAGGGAATAATTGCCACAAATTTACAAGAAGCGAGGCAATGGGACAGGGAAAAGCTAGTCACATGTGAGAACCGGCCTTACGAGCGGTGGGTGCGTGCCCGCGCCTCAGGCACGGGGTTGGCTAGCTTGAAAGACTATATACTGTACATAGCGCGTTCTCGGGTTTTGGTTTTGTTATGGGCATGACACCACTGTTGTAAATAAAATTTTCTAAACAACAGAAACTTAAAAAATTTTCTCTGGTGTGTTTTTCCCAGTACTCTCTTTCCGTCTGTTTTATGAACAGAGGAAGAAATGACCTTTCTAAAATCCTTTTCGTGTGGGCAATTTTACGTGTCCCCTCGAGCTTGCGGGACTCCGAGCCTCTGGTCCCTCGTGCCTTTGTGGCCAACGCTCGAGCTGATTATACTTTCTGTATTTTTTTCATCTTTCGTCAATACATGAGTTGTGATTGTGCGGTTGTCTCGTCTACGTGTTCCTCTTCTCTGTCCCTGTCCTTTTGTGCGCTACTGGAACTATGGTCGATCTATACCAACTCGTGCAACTGTCTACATTATTACTGCACCATAGATGTTAGCCAGGGCGAGACCAAGCGAACGAGCGCACCTCACAGGCGCTATCATATGTGTATCTTGCGCGATGCGTAACGTCAATGAGGTGAGCGGTTGCATGGTTTGACGTGACACCGCGCTTCCTGTTACGTTTTACCGGGAGGGCAGTACTTTCCGAGTATCTGTGCTATACAGCTTAGCGGCCATAATAATTCTTCTGCCGTCACTTGATGTGAACGGATGCAGAATCATGAGCTCGCCAGGAGCGGGAACAACGGCCCTTTCCGGCCGTGGGTTCTCTTTTGTGATGGCCGATGCCGAGTATCGAATGGTGCTGCTACCTCAGCCTTCGAAAATTGCTGACCGGAACCCTATGTTGCTTCACTGCAACGTCAACGGTAGACCTTATAAGATAGGCGACATCAGGAGCGAGCTGGAACGTCTGGGTGCGCTGGTGGCATCAAGGCCCTCGCCAAACGGCGTCTGGTCGCCGTGAAGAAGCCCGACACCAAAGACAAGCGCAACCTCGCCTTGGAGCCCGACAACGAGGACGTGGAATTGGATCCAGTGGATTCAAGAACTACTAGGAACAAGAAACACAAGCAACCCTTACATTCACAACGCACCCCACCGCATCGGACCAATCGCTACCTGTTTTGACACGCAAGTCGTCTTCTCCTGCATATTCAAACTGGCGAGCCTGTGCGGTTTGACTAACCAGAAGGAGACCAAGCCGCCCTACGAGAAAAAACACTACACCCACTTCAGAGAATGTGCGACCGAGAAGGTGTACTTTGTGGCCTTAAATTGCGCAGCTGAATACATTAGCCAAACTGGCCGATGCGTAAACGACCTTCTATGAGAGCATCGAAACGAGGCAACATCAAAAGCCGATCATGCTACGATCCCATCGCTGCTCATGCGAAGAAGCGTATTTGGTGCGCACCGACGTTTGGCGGCACCAAGGTCCTGGGAACACATCATCTGCGAATCGGGCGTGAAATCATCGAAACATTCATCATCAAAGAAGCAAAAAATAACGTCTCATCCGCAACGTTAGCCCTGACAAGACGCGAAATGGGATTTATCAGGCCAAAACTAATGGCGAATTCATGGTCGTTCGGAGCGCGCGGGGATCGACGTTTCTGGAGCGAGCCTATTTCACTGGGCGATCGGGGTCGAGACCGACGTGTTTCAATGGTCGTTTTGGATTAGCTCCCGCTCCAGATCTCAATCTGGATCCGAGAAAAGTCGCTCCGACGATTTCGGGGGATTCAACCGGAAGCCGGCCGGGCCAGCCCTCGGCGCACACACGTGACTTCCTTTCTCGTGGGGCATCTCGCCTGATCTCGCCTCAGAAGAAGAAGAAGCATGTCGCGGGCTGGGCTCCTAGATTGTCTCGACATCAGAAGAATTCGTAATGGCCGCTTGCTTACCCCTTGGCTCGACAGCCGGTTTGTTTTCCAGGAAGGAGAACAGAAGGTATTTGCCGCGCTACGGGCATCCCGGCAATCTTTGCTAGAAGCGCCTTAGCCATTCCTGCCGCTCGTGCGTCGAACACGTGTTAGCGCCGCGATTGCGAAAACGTCTTCGAAACGACCGCGGCGGCCGCGGAAAGGGGATTCCCTGGCAGTTGAATGACGGGAAGGCATCTGCCGATCCCGGAGCAGTGGTCACGTTCCACTGGGGATCCGTAGGCGGCGCGACCCCGTTCGGATCGTGTGCTCCAGTCCGGATCTGGTCGACTGATCCCGGCGCGCTCCGGAACGCCCAGTGGAATTCGCCATAAAAAAAAAAAAAAGAAAAGTAACAAAAATGGGCTGTCACGATGCGTTGTCGGCGCTCCCGTTCGTAACTTCCTCTCCTTCAGCTTTCCCCCGTTCTGGTCAACGCGTGAATTTTGCGTGCCCGGAGAGCCGCGGTGCCGCGGCTCTCCAGTGCGAAGTAAATATAGACTAAAGACTAAATTTTCGTCGTTGCTCAATGAAAGATTATGGTTGTGTACGAAAGTTCGTCGTATTTTAATATTCCTATTTTGCGTATTCACAATCACAACACGCTCTCCTTAACTAGACGAAAAAGCGACTGAAATGGGACCTTCGGGACGTGGTTGGAGAGCACCAGGCCCACGGGATTAAGGGACGAACCATCAGCACAAACCTGCACGGAATGCGCATTTTGGGTAGCGAAAGTGTTAATGTGCCCCTTGGCCGTGCTTCAGCTCGACCTGAGCGAAACCTTCGACAGGGTTTACCACTCCTTTCTTTTCTGGGTCTTGGAGGAGTGTGAGATCGGTGCGCGTCTGTTCCGATACGTCCAGTCGGGCTACCGAGACATCACAACCCGCTTACTTGTGACCGGAAACATGACGACTCCCATCTCAGTCACTAGATTCGTGCGACCGGGCTGCCCAACGTCGCCGATATTATTTACGTTGTCCATCGAACCATTCTGTCGGACGATTATCGGTGACGCAAGTATTTCGTGGGCTCACCTAGTCTTCACGTGAGCTGAAAGTGCTCGCCTACGCCTACGATGTGGCCGTGGTCTGCTCATCGTGGGCGCAGGTACACACGATGATACAACACATTACACACTTCTGCAGTGCCTCGGGTGCGGCGATGCACACTGACCAGTCCGTCGGTACCTTGCTCGGAGATTGGGACTTGAAGCCAGAGCACCCTCTCCGAATCACCGAGACGACGAGTGGGTCAAAGTATATAGGTTTGAACATGGACACTGAGACAATAAGTGCTGGGCGCGGTTTTAGATGCGGAGCATCTCTTGCTCGGGTCTATGTCCCGCGGCTTCGTAGTCCGCATTCACACTACGCATGCGCAACTCTCCTCCTTCCCTCTCCAACAGCTGCGCGTTACTCTCTCCGCTCTCTCTCTCTCTACCAGCTGCGTGCACTTCCCGTGCGTTCACTTCTACTCACACTGCGCGCGCATGCGCAACACTCCTCCTCTAGTCTCCTCTCCTTCAAGTGTGAATATAAGCAGCGGTAGCGCGCTGCGCGCGTTCAGTTCACCGCTGTTGACCCCACTTCACTCTGTATTTTCGATGAAGTGTGATGGAAGAGCGCTCTGAGAGGTTACGTCACAATGGCGGAGGAAGGAAGTCCATGGCGCAACTACGTGAGAATACGCTATCGACGTGAAAACATGTCCCTTGACAAGCGGCGCGGTGGTGTTCGTTCATGCGCGTTTATCCGACATTAATATACGTTTTAAAGGCGCAGTCTTGTACAATTTATTATATATATATAATATAAACGTATTATATAACGCGCTACCAAGGTTGAGAGTACCAAAATTATATTTATGAGTATTCCCGTAACCGCGGGACTATGTGCAGTCCCGCAGCACCCCACACTTTTCGAAAGGACCGGCTGCGATGCTGCTGATGCCACATGGCT